ATAATTTTAAAATACCATTCATGTTTGTAAATGTTTCTAATGTTTCCCGTGCATAACCGTTTGGTCAACATAAGCAAATGCTTCCTTTCCATTGTACTTATTGCAATCGGAATGGTCATTTAAGTAATTTTTGTTATGACCGTGTCCGTGCACCACATGCGCCTAAGAGGGTTCATAACCCTAGGGCTTTGAGCTTAAATGATAAGGGCCATGTCCCTAAATTTTTCGGCACCAATAGTGTTTGGGTGTGGGTGCCAAAACCATTTTGATTTTTTTTAAACCAAGATTTTTTAATGTTTTTATTTTTCATTTCTTGGTTTTGAAAATTTTGTGTTTATGAATTTAATTTAATTTATGATTTCATTTGGTTGATTTGTTTTTATTTGAAAACTTTTTTTCATGATTATCATGTTTCTCTTTCTTTTGATTTCATAAATCTTTTTATACATGGCTTCTATGTGTTTGCCTTAGTCTTTATTGCATATACTCCATAAGGCATTTTGATAGGGGGAGCAATCCCTATTTTGTTTTATACTCACTCATACTTATATGTAGGGGGAGCTTTCGCTCTCTTCATCATTTTTTCCCCTTTTTGATGTTGTCAAAGAGGGAGAAATATTATGAGTATATCCTTTTTGTTTATGTGCATGATAATTCTAAATTATATATTCTTTTCTTTCATGCATATATATATTTTTATAAATTGTTTGTCATCATCAAAAATGGGGAGATTGTTGGCCTCTTTATTTTGATGATGTTTAACAAATAATTTACCACTAATATTGTTTGTCTAGTATTTGTGTTTTTTTTATTTATTGTAGACAAACAACATGTTAGAGGATGGATGGAATTGCGTATTCACTATCATATCCAATGGAGGTTGGCGGAATTGTGAAGTGAAGCCTATACAATTCAAATTGAAGATCCAAGTTCTAACTTTATCCGCAAATATACCAAGTTGAGCTACATTGAAGATCAATCAATCTTGGGTATATTTAGTTTAGGTTTTATATTATGTGTGTTAGTACTTTAAGCTCAATCATATATACACACACATATTTGGTTTTTATATATATAGTTATATATATACACAAGTTTTGGTTTATGGACTTAACAATTATTGTATACATATTTTATTAGGTCTATAAAATTATTTCATAGAGTTTCAAAATATTGTTTATGTCAAAACATCAAATTTCATGTATATCACATTTTCATGTTTTGGACACACTTGCAAAATACTTAAGTTTTCACAAATGGGAAACTCAATTTGAGAAATTCTTTTTCTAACATGTTCAATTTTATGTTTATAAATGTTTCTCAAAGTTTTATCAATTTTAGAATTAATTTGTTATGTTTATTTGAATTTACAAAATCAAGTTTTTAATTAGCTCATGTTCGTGTACATGTTCGTGCATGTTTTTACAAAACTGATGTGTTTTCACAATTGGGAAATGCGATTTGAAAAATTTCTTTGTTTACATGTTTATCATCATATATACAAATATTTCCCCAAGTTTTACTATTTTTGGAGTTGTTTTGTTATTTTCAATTGAATTTACAAAACCGTATTTTCTGCAGTTTTTTTTAGAAACTGTATATCTGTGTTCAAACAGTTATTTCTCTCAACTGGGAAATGATATTTTATAAATTCTTTCTCTAACATGTTTATCTATATGTATAGAATATTTTCTCAAAATTTCATGATTTTTGGAGTTGATTTACTATTTTTAATTAATTTTACAAAGTTAGATACGCAAAATTCCAGAATCTGTCAAAAACAGAAACTGTCTGTGAACAGTGCGGTCGACAGCACTGTAGCACGATCGACCGCCATTACTGTAGCAGCCGACCGTTGCACAGTAATGGTAACTTCTGTTTTTTGGGTTTTTAGCGGGGTTTTGAGGTTTTTTGAGTTGTTTTCTTCAAGCCTATATATACCCCTTTACCATAACTATTTTCTACAAAAAAAAGAGTGTTTTAAACAAGTTTTAATAAGGGTTTGTGTTTGGTTTAAGTTTTGTTTAAAAAGCTTTTAAGTAAATTGAGAGTTTGTTTTATGATATCAATTTCATAAGAGCTTGAGGAGATCAACCATTGGTGTTTGAGCATCCAACATATTCTCCCTCCACCTCTTGATCTATTGAGAAGTTTTCTAAACTCTTATCTAGCTTTACATTTGCTTAGTTATTTGATTATCATTCTTTAAAGATAGTTTTTATATTAAGTTTATATTTGATTATATTATCTAATTATTACACACACCCACATTGAGCTTTTAGTATTTCATACATAGTATATTTGGATTGTGAGAGATTGTAACATTGAGTTATGCTTAATTGAGTTCTTGCCTTGTATTAGAGAACAAATCATTTTTTGTTACATTGTTAGTGTTGTAAAGTTTTCAGTGAGCTAGAAAACCAAGTGTGAGGTGTAGACGTGGATCGGTGAGCATTGAAAACCGACATTGTGAGAGTGTGAATTGTGAAGTTTTCGGTGAACTAGAAAACCGAGTGTGAGGTTTGTGAACGTTGATCGGTGAGCGTTGAAAACTAACATTGTGAGGTATAAACGTTATTCGGATGAGCGTAGAAAACCCGGTTGTGATAGTGGATTTCTCCCCGGGAGTGGGGAGCGGAGACGTAGGACGGAAGGTCCGAACTCCGTGATCATATCATGTGTTTAAGTTTGCTTTGGCGCACTTACTCTTATGTTTATGTTTCTTATCGTCATTGTCCATTGCTCATTATTTATATCATCCACTATATTGTTTATTTTGTTTACCCTTGTTTATATCACTTATCCTAGCTTACATATCTTGTTGTATTTTATACTTGCTAGGATAACTTATTAATTAGTTTTAATTAGCATAAAATTGGATTAGATTAGCATAAGACCCTAATCACCCCCCCTCTAGGGTCTAACAGCAATATCAATGTGGGATAATTGGTGATCGTGACACACTTATTAAAATATAAACTTTTATCATATAATTACTTCTTAAAATTAAACTTAATCCAATTGGTTTAATATATATATTTAGTATATTATTATAATATAAATATTATTTTACTTTATATTAAATATAATATAATTATAGTATACTTTAATAATACTTACTAATTATATAATATTATTATTTATATTAAGCATGCTATGACTAGTATAGTATAATTAATATAAATATAATATCAAATATATTTATATAATATTTTAATAATATAATATTTAATATAATACTACTATTTATTTATAAAAAAAAATATAAATGTTAATACAATAATTACTAATTACTATTATATTAGTATGCATACACATTAGTATAATAATTGATATAAAATATGAATAAATATACTATAATAATCTAATACATTTAATAATATATATTAATTTAATATATTATAATAATAGTATCATTAGGATTATGTACTTATTATAAATAATTATAATTTTTACTTTATTCAAATGTAAAAATTTTAAATATTTATATTATATAATATTATATATATATATATATTATATATATATATATATATATAATTTAATATATATATATTATATATTTATATATATAATATATATATATATATATATATTATATATTAATATATATATATCATATAATATATATATATATACATGATAATTACTACGATAAATGTAGAATATATCATAAAAGGTAATCATGTTATAGAATTAATATATTATATTATTCAAACTATAGATATATATATATATTATAATCATATATTTTACTAATATTATAATATTATTATATATATAAATAAGATAATGTCATATATATAATAACTATAAATATATTTTATAAATTAATTATATAATAATATATTATAAATAAATATGTTTTTAAATATTATAATAAATATGTAAACTGAATTACATAATTAAATATATATATAATAATATAGTACATAATACTATAAATATATTTATTAAATATTAATACATGTTATTATATAAATATTATTAATATATGTTATTAAATTATGTTATTAAATATATTATTAGTTACTAAAATATTATATAATATTACAATAAATACGTTATACTATAATTACTAGATTAATATTATATAATAATATATTACATATATTAATTAAATATATGTTATTAAAATATATATATATTACAATAAATACGTATATACTATAATTACTATTATATAATATTATTAATATATGTTATTAAATTATGTCATTAAAATATTAATATATGTTATATTTTATATATCATGTCATATATTTATAATATAATTGCATGTATTAGTTAAGTAATATAAAAATATTTTAAAATTATCTCAATTACCTTCAAAGTTGAACAATATTGTTCCAATATGGAGGATGGAGTAAATTTTTACTATTGAGACAAAATTTTTGTATATGAGTGGGGTAATTTTATCCCAAGTAGTGTAATTGTCTCACTAGTGTTCCAAAAAACCAATAACACAAAAAGATATTATCCTTGTTCCATTGTCCCAATGAATAACACTATGAAATAGAATCACCAAAATTATCTCATTATCCCCAAAATATCCCAACCAATAACCCCCTTTAGCCATTATTTTACTTGCTCGTATTTAAATTGGATTCTACTATTGCAACTCCACCTTGAGATATGAAATGGATTAGATGGCAATTACACTACAAACCAATTCATCATGCATCATAATATGGAAGTTCATGTTAAGCCCTAACCTCTCAAATTACACTACAATGCAATACCTAATCATGATTAGTGTTTAACTTCTAACGTTACTTAATCCCCTTCATTAATGCATTTTCAAAAATGCCACAAAATACTCCCGTTTTATTCCAAACAAAAGCTAGGAAACTGACAAATTCAGTTGCCAATGATGCCACGGGTTCACGTTGGAAGCACCTCACCTTAAAAAAAAACGGAAGTAAGAAAATAAGGACAAAAATCTATTCAACCCTCCAAAATCTTTCTTATCCTAAAAATTAATGCTTGTCTTTGTTTATTTCCAATTTAATTCATTTCTCGTAGTTCTTTGAACCCTTTTCTTTTTTTGAGTTTAACATGTGGCACTTTTAACCCCACTCTCACCTGCTAATGGCAGAACCGCCCTTGCATAAAACAAAGCGCGACGAAGGCGAAGCTCGCTCGCTCTCTGCCTCTCTCCTGCCCCCCCAAACTGAAAATCCCCTAAAATTTGAGCCATTACTAGGGATTCTGTTCGTTGGGAGCACGGAATTCGAAGCTGAAGGAGGTGAGCCTGCAGATCGCAGGAGCCCCAGTGTCTGCAGGAGATAAGTTGATTTCTTCTGCTCTCTGTCCCCCCCTTTCATTTGATGGCTAATTGTTGGGTAGAATTGCATTTTTTTTTAGAGGGTTCAGCTTGGTTGTGAGAATTGGGGGAGTTTTTGCAGAAAAGATTGGATTTTGCGGTGAATGTGGTTGGTTTTCATTTGGGATTTTTGTTTTTTGCTTCTTTGTTGGGTCAATTGTGCCATTTTTAGGTCGCAGAGTTCCAATTTGGCGTCAGTTTCATGGGTGAGTTGGGATTGAGAGTGTAGAATTAGGATTTTTCTCTAGCTGGTTGAGATCTCTGGTTCAAATTTTTTTTCCAACTTCCATTTAGGATTTTACTGTAATTGGGGTTGGGTTGCTGGGTAGCAGATTCTGCAGATTTTTTTTTTTCCTTCCAGAAACTGAATTCTCAAAATTAGTTTTTTTAACCCCCACAGAAATGAACTTTGGGGGTTTCTCTTTGGTCTCTATTGTGGGGTCATTCTCCATTTTCACTTGATTAAGGGCATGCATGAGCTGGAAAATTAGCTATAGGGAGTGCTTTTGCCCATTTGGCATGGTTTGATGGATCCTACGACTTTCAATTTCGAAGAGTGAGGAGTAGTTCCTTAGAAGATGGTGGATTCAAGCGAGAACAATGCTGAAAATGGTGTTGTGGATGGAGTAGCTCTGAGACTGTTGTTTGGGGAAGAGTTTAGGGACTTAGTTGAAGGTGAATTAGATGCCTCAAAAGAAAATCAAGTTTTTGAGGTTGTCTTCGATGGGACTGGCACTGATGATGCAGATACAGTTAAAGACACTGATGCTAAACCAGCAGTGGCCGCAGATTCTAGGGGTTCAATTCTGACAAGTAACTCTTCCATGAAAGATTTATTGAAGAAGGATTTTAAAGAGACAAATGATGTGGAGTCCTTTCAAGATAGTTCAGCTTATTCTGCTAGATCATTGGCTGAGAATGTTCTTGTGAAACGGGCAATGCCATCATCTACAGATCATTTGGGTGGAGAACAGAAGGATCCTCTTAGTGAATCAGTGTCATTTATGGTGGTTATAGATCGAGAGAAGATGGGTCCTGAACATTGTTACACTGCTGCTTATACTGAGCTACCTCCTCCGGAGACATCAGAAGTTATTTCAGACATGCCTATGGAGTCTGACAAAGAACCAGTACCATCCCATGTAATTGAAACTTCGGAAATAGATGCTACTGGGAATACAGACACTGGGTTGGTTTTAAACAGCAAATGCAGAGTTCAACAAGTAAAAGATGCGGAGGTAGTTATGGAAGGTAAATCTGTCACCTCTCCAGGTTCCCAAGAGAGTGTAGATTCAGTGCTTCTGGGAACAGGTGCAAATATTGCACCTAAAGAAACGTGTGCTGCAATTATTTGTTCAAAACAAACAGCAGAGGGACCCGGAACCTTAGGAACTGTTGATGCTGCTCCAAAGTTAAAGAGGACTCTAAAAAGGGAGCTGCCCTGCCTCCTTGAATCATATGCACATCGTCTTCTTATAGATGCAGGTTTTGAAATTCGGCATCGCCGACGGATTGACAGAGAAAGGCCGGCTTATTTTTTCGTTAACACCGAAGAAGGGTTCTCTAACAAAGCACTCACTGTCGCTTGGAAGGCATGCGGCAAGAAATTATTGACTTCCGCATTAGACTTGGAACGAGATGAACAGGGAAGAGAGTGGTGGGATGTTGATAGATTTTGGAGGGATATGAAAGATGCAATGGCCTACATTGATAATGGGGCTCATCGTCAGGAAAGCTCATTGTCTCTTCTACAAAGATGGAAGCTCCTTGATCCTTTTATGGCCGTAGTGTGGATTGATAAAAAATTAGGTGTTTTGCGGAAAGGAAAGGGTTTAAAAGCCATGAACAGCACAACATTGGTTCTGGACGGGAGTAGGAAGCCAATATTGGCAGAAATGGTCATGGATGGAGGTGAAAACAGTGCTGCAGAAATTAGTTCATGTTTGGGCAGAAGTTTTGGAAGATGTATTGTGAATGACTTGCACATGGGATCCACGGATTCAGGGAGTCGGCGAAAGAGATCAAAATTGTCAAGTAAATCGACGTCCATGGAGAATGTTCCAGATTTTCCAAACTTCGGTCCTAATGAAAATGAAATTCTCCACAGTAAGGAGATTCCGTGTTTAAGTGCAAATTATAGTCGTGGCCAAATTAACATGCATTCAGAGAAACAGTGTCCTGGTGATCAGGCTAGTCATCCTGAGGGGGAAATTGCTTCTAGCACAGATGATAACCAGGGAATCAGTTCGCATCCCCAAGAAGGCACCAATATTATTGGAAAGATGGTGCTTGCTGAGAAAACAAAATCAAAATCCAAGCGAGCAGCTTCTGCGCTGGCAGATGGTTCTGCCAAAAAGGCACGTAAGAAGTCCAAGAAAATATCGGAAATTGGAGCAAATGAAGAAATTGGCGAGGTCATGTATGTGAAGGATGACCAAGGATATACTTTGTTGGAAGAAGATATGGAGCACCACAAATCATCGAAGGTTGAATGTAAAGCAAATAGGTCAACTTTCAATGCTGCCAATCCTACGAGCTCAAAGAAGCACAAAATGGCAGCTGAGTTCAACATGGAAAGTGACCAGCATGTTGATCCCAATATTACAGCTTTTGAAGATAGTGGAAACATGCACAAAGAATCCAACTGTGAGGGTAGACATGATGAACTTTGGAGTACTACTGGAGGCATGTCTCCTGAACCTGGAAGCAACCAGGAGCTTGTCAAGGCTAACAAGTCTGGAGTTAAAAAGAAAAGTGAACAGAAGAAGTTCAAGTTAGGCCCCATTAAGGATGATGACCTTCTGATTTCTGCTATTATAAAAAAGAAAGGTAATGGCTCTTTTCGTAAAAAGTTTTCTCCAAAAATGGAGCCCTTTCAGTTAGAAGCACTGAGGAAGCTTAATAGTCAGAAAGGAAGATGCAAGTTGCTTCCTCGAGCTCTTAGAAAAGGTGGGAACCACTGTTTGGATGGGAGACGAATCACCTTGGAGACAAGGACAGCGCTGTGCTGGTTGGTTGAGATGGGTGCTTTATCTCTGAAAGATATAGTTCAATACCGGAATCCAAAAAACAATGCAGTGCTGAAGTATGGTCGGGTGACTAAGGATGGGATTCTTTGTGGATGCTGCACGAATATCTTTTCTATATCTGAATTTAAGGCCCATGCTGGTTTAAAGCAACATAGATCTTCTTTAAATCTTCTATTGCAGTCTGGCAAATCATACATTGAATGTCAACTCAAGGCTTGGTCTACTGAATTCATGAAGAGGAAAGGTAATTTACTATTTACAGGAGCTGATGAAAAAGATGGAAATGATGATACTTGTGGAATTTGCGGTGATGGAGGTGACTTAATATGTTGTGACAACTGCCCTTCTACTTATCATCAAACATGTTTGTCTGTTCAGGTATGTTACTAGTCAAGATCTGTGGTTTCTTCTACATGCTTTAGTTACTTCTCTGCTAACTGTCTCTGTGTGTCCTCAATAGTTTTTCATCACTATATCAAGCAACATCTGTTTAACAAGCGCTCTTGTTGGCATACAAATGCATCATGCTGCTGTCAGTTGAAATGTAGTTGCTTTTTCTCCCTATGACAAAGAGAAGAAGCAACACATGAATGTTCTAATTTATGGCTATTCTTCTTTCATCACAAAGAATAGAGAATTCATACAAGTGTTGTATGATCCATTTTCAATCCATGTTATTGGATTCTAATAATTTAGGGAAGGAAAGAAAATGCATAAAACTATTATAACGAGTTCATTCCTCTTGTGACATGTCAATCCATGACACGTCATAACACATTACAATGCGATGAAACCTAATAACCATTGCATGTAGTTGATTTTGCATTCATCAAGCTGGAATACCTGAATTGTAAGAGTAAGTAACCACATAGTGAGGTTCATATTTCCCTTGTATTTGAGTCTGTCTTCTAAGAGTAGTTCTACTTAGATATGAGGACAAAGGCTAGATGTATGACATTGTTTGTTCAGTGAACTTGGGGTTTGGGAGGGCTACTTCATGTGCAAGACAGAATTTCACAGGAATAATATTTTAATTTAGAGAAATAAAATGTTTCTAAAATTTTATTTCTCTTTTGAAGGACTAGGCTAGTGAATTTTCCATCCCATTTTGAGGCTTGGTTTGAGTTACCTTCATTAGAACTCAAATACAGTAAGTCAAGTCAAATTGAGGAAAATTTTATGTTTATAGTAGCCATGGATTTAAATGTGAATAACTTGAGATTTGACATGTTAAATATGCTAACAATATTAGGTCAAGTTATTATGACCTGAAAATGAAAATCTGGGGATGTTAGTTTCTTTCTTTCATTTATCACTTAAATTATAGTTTTTAGCAGTTGGATTTGTATCTCTAGGTTGACAGTTAGAGAAACTCTGGGTAGGGTAAGGCCGCCTTAATGTAAATTCCCAGAAAATGCAATACTTTTTTGGTTTTTTCCTCTTCTTCTTTATGTGCTTGATATAAATTGACTTCTTTAGTTCCACACATAAGTAGCATAGATAGACATAGAGCAAGCCTATCAAGGTCTTATCTCATTGGAAGAAGTTATGTTTCTACCTAGAATAGGAAGACGTCCTAATCTACTTCTGATTAAAATCAATCTTAGTTTAGTTAGAACTAAATTAGTTTATTATGAGTGTTATAATTTATTTTGAAACCCTACTTTAGTTAGGAACTTAGGATCAATTCGTTCGATTAGGAAAAATTTTAATTTGTTCGATTAGGTAAATTTTAATTTGTTTTCTTTGATTTTAATTAAGTAATAACTAGGATGAGTTCTAGTTTTACTTCAATTTAGACTGTGATCTATATATACACATTATTTTATCACTTTTTTTGGATTTGATTAATTGGTGATTTTGTGAAAATGCATGTGAAGTGCTCGATTTAGCATGAAGTGGAACGCTAACCCTATCTTCTTTTGTGCCGCTGGAACTGCTTCCCCTTTCCTATATTATTTATTTTCCCTTATCTTCTTCAAACCTGGTCCATGTTCTCTTTCTCGTGATCTAGATTTTTAGTCAAATTTGAGATTATATAGTCTGTGACTCTGCAATAACCATACAGCAAGTGACATTTAACGCCTCATATTTGGAAATCTTTTCCTGGTTATAAAGACAACTAGTCAGAAAGCATTCATAATAATGTCATGACACAAGTTTGAAGTGTACATGGCACACTGATGTCTCTGTTGATGTTAGAAGAGATGTTCCCCCTGAGGTAAGGGAGCAAGGCTATTGGTCATTCATCTCTAGGGTAAAACATCTGAATCTAAATGAATGTACTAAAGTCCCGCTCATTGACATGGTTGAAGATATGTCAGGATTTGTTTTACAAAGTAGCAGCAAATTAGACCTATTACTTATAGGGTGTATTATGTAATAGCGATTAATTTAATTGAGGGCATGACCCACACTACAGCTACTGGAAGAAAAGGATTCATGTAGCCAAACATAAATTTGGTATTTTGGCTTTTCTTATTATCGGCATCGTTGTATTCATAACAATTATTAGTGCTTTTTAGGATCCTACACATCTTTTTTACACATGTTAATATCTTAAGTTGCTGTTTACATGTATTAATGTCATGTTATAGTTAATTGCATTACTTTCTTGACTTAATTTTTATAGTTAATTAGAAAGTCGTTTCTGATTTTTTTTTCTCGTTGGAATCAGGAGCTACCAGAAGGCAACTGGTATTGTCCAAATTGCATTTGCGTGACATGCAGAGGTTTGGTGACGAAAGAGACTTCAAGCTCCTTGGCTACATTAGAATGTGCTCAGTGTGAAAATAAATGTAATCTTTTAGACCCTTTTACATAGTAGAGTTTTGTCTCAAGGACATCTTTGTAGTTAAAAGCAGTTTTACCTTTGCTAGAACATAGTTTTACTTTAAGGTACAACAAGCAAAATAGACCTGTCCGATGCCGCAACACTAGTGTGAAAACAACCAGAAAATGATTTAATCATTTGGTTAAAAGCATTGTTGTCAATGCGCGAGGCGCAATGCGGGGCGCAAAGCATCTTTACGCGCACATGCGCAATACGCAACGCGATGCGCGCGCCCAAGTGATGCGAGGCGCACACCACACACATAATATTTCAATATATGTAATCAAGTGCGAAAGAACATGTTTTTAGAATTTACATGAAAAATATCATGATAAATAATATCTTACTACAAAATTACAATATACTGTCTTAATTTCTAATGCTAACACCCAACATAGTAGCAAATTTCATAAATTTTCAAATCAAATGTTAAATCAAGACTAATATCCAAACAAAGGATTAGTAATGGTCCTCAATTGAAGGTTATTAAAAAGGCCTAATGGATTTATTTTGCTCTTTGGGATATGGAATATCAAGTATAAAGACTCGATTGAAATGTTAACAAACAAAACTATATGAGGAAATGTACTACATGCATCCTACACAAAGTACGGATGTACGCGAGGCGCAAAAGGCGCTGCTTCATCAGATGTAGGCGCTTCGCCACCGCCCCGCATCGTAAGGTGCAATGAGGCGCGTTCCTTTGAAAACACTGGTTAAAAGTACATTGTATATCTAGCAACCTATAGCAAGTAATCAAAAAATATAGGGACTTATACCATGCCAAATAGTTGAAATACAAAATGAGTTAAAAATTGTTTGGTTGAGTACTTTGTGTTAAAGAGTGACTTTGAAAGTGGATGGGTTTAAAAATAAATGGGTGTAAGCTTTGGGTTTATAGGGTAACAAAAACATTTTTGGTTCTAAGAGTAATTTGGAAGTGGGTGGGTTCAAAAGTAAATGAAGAAAAAATTGGATTTATAAGCAAAAAACCTTTTTCAAAGTACTTGAGTGTAAAAATCAATCGGAGTAGAAATTTAGGTCGAGTATTTTGGGTTGTGATTTTAATAGCGTCAGATAAATGGGGAAATGTAAAGAGTATTTTGGGTGCAAAAGTAAATGAGGAAAACTTCATGTACTTCGCGATGACACAACACTTGTATCAAATAAGAAAAAAAAGGTTTAAGTATTTTGTCTAAGAATACACTGTTTACTTAACCACTTAGAAAAGAAATTTAGCAAGTTAATGTGCAATATAATAACTAACATTCTATACCAAACCCTTGAAATACAAGTGAGATTAAACATAATTCATTCACGTATTTAAATCTAACAATGATTGGGGAAGTGGTGAGTGGGTTTAAAATAAAGAGAGGTAAGACTTTGGATTTATTGGCAAAAGACCAATTATATCGTGCCTCGTTATATTATTAAAGTTGATGAAAACTTTGGGCTAAATTCGGTTTGAAAGTTGTTGTAAAGTTAAGGAGCATTTTGGCTAAAGAGTGAGCTTTGAAGTTGATAGGCTTGAAAATAAATTGGTTTATAAGTTCGGGTTTACGGGCAAAATATCTTTATTTATACCTCTTGTACCTATTACTATAAAGCTAAACCTTTTCTTTAATTAAACTACTATAAAGTTAACCCTATTGAGTGCAGTGTAGCTATGAACAGTAGCTATAGTTCGTAGCTATAGTGGAAAGTGAAATAGGTTTAGTATATAGTATAATATAATTTTTGTATATTGTAAAAAATCGTACTCCATGACAAAAGATGGAGTGGAATAATGTTACTTGATGGAGTATTTCCTTTCGTAGAAGTTACAATTCTCTTGTATCTAACAGTTGTTTTATAACAGCAAGTGTCCCATATCTAGAATGTTGCTTGATAAAAACCTTAGGACAAAAATTTATAGTCTTGTTATTATCATGACAGCAAGTGTCCCATAGCTAGAATGTTGCTTCATAAAAGCCTTTGGACAAAAATTTATACTTTTTATTATCATGACTAGATCACAATGGTTGCATCTCAAGGAAAGTTGCAAATTGTGGGGAAATAGGCGCAAATACTTGGTTTTGTGGAGATAGTTGCAGGGAGGTATGTTTTTATAAGCATGATTTTAAAATTCTCTCTCTCTCTCTCTCTCTCTCTCTCTCTCTCTATATATATATATATATATATATATATATTATATATATATATATAAACTTATGTCAACTAAGTGGACATCCAGCAAACTTTCTATCCATTGATGATACATAGCGCGATCCATGCAAGATATGAAGAGACTTTTTATATATATATGAGTGGATAGAAAGTTGTGTGGACAAATGTCTCTTGTCCACTTAAGTTGACATAAGTTTACCTATATATATATATATATATATATATATTATATATATATATATGAGCAATATGGAGGAACTTAGTACAAGCACAAGTTTTTGTGCTTGGTAGTGAGGATGAGACACCCTCACTACCAAGCATAAATTTGCTGCTTGGTACTAATTTCCTACATTTTTCTCTATATGTGTGTGTATACGCATATACATAATAGAAAAGGGTTGGGGCAGGGGGGGGGGGCCGGGGGGGTAAATATCCATTTAAGTGACTGGTGCTCTTGTCACAACACTTTTTAACATTGATTTTGCTTTTGTGATTTGTGCTTGGTGTCCAATACACATCAAGAGACATATCTCATAGATAGCTGTTGATGTCCAACACAAATCTCAAAGAAAAATCAAGGGATTAATGGGGGGGGGGGGGGTGGGCGCAGAGCTCCAATCACTAAAGTGGACTCTCTCTCTCTAAAATATTGCTGTGTGTTGGCACTGTGTGGAAGTGATCCATTTCCTAGTGATATTGGATTTACCTACTTTAGGCAGGCATTTGGCTATCAAATCCTGCCTAAAGTAGGTAAATCCAATATTGCTGTGTGTGTGGAAGTGATCCACACACACAGTTTATGTTGTGTCTGTGTGGAAATGGATCTCTCTCTCTCTCTCTCTCTCTCTCTCTCTCTCTCTCTCTCTCTGTGTGTGTGTGTAAAATATTGTTGTGTGTGTGGAAGTGATCCATTTCCTAGTGATATTGGATTTACCTACTCTAGGCAGGATTTGATAGCAAATAGTACTATATGAGCATACAATGAAATCAAAGCCTCCACTCAGTTTAAGTTGGTCTTAAATTATTTACAGTATGTAAAATAGAAAATTACGTTATTTTATATTTTCTTGGGTATGAGTAAATTGAAGGCTGAAATAGCATGTTTTAGACCTTGCATCTAGCATTATTTATTAACAAAGCTTGATTTCTAAAGTTTTAACTGTGTATATCATGATCAAAATTTTGAAACAAATTTGTGTGCTCGAAGCCCTTGGATTCTTAATGACATGTGCCTCTTGTCCATTTATTTTGTGCCAACCTGATGCATGAATAAGAAACTTAAGAAACTAATTCACCTGATTTTTTTGTTTTAGACGTTAGATCAACTTGACCGAGTGGAGTTCCGATTTGATATCATTCCATGCATTTCAATGTGGGGATTCACTTTCAGATCCTTGTGGAAGTTGCCAATCTTGTCTCTCTACATACATCTGTATATGTGTATTGTATGTATAATTTACAAAGGAAGGGAATGGCTAGAGCTAAGATCTTACTTGTATTAGAAAAATCATTAGCTTAGCATATAAAAGTCTTTGTTGTTATAGGATTCAGTCATTATCATTGCCTTTTCCGTTTGTAATCTCTCTTTATGCTAGTTAATGTGGACCTTACTTATGAAATATGCTTTCCTTCTGAAAATTTTCTTCGTGGGCTTTCTACATATAGACGAAGTTTGTTATTGCCATCCTTAGGTTTCTGAATTGCAAATTACTTCAACTCCTTTAGATGGGCTTTGAGATTTATCTAACTTATATGTATACTCCACACTTAGTTCTTTGTAATAGGTAAAAACTAGGTGCGGTGAATTATCTACTAAGACATCTTTCTACTTATTTTATAGATGTTACTCAACAAATCTGCTGAAAGATATGCCTACCATTTTAATTATTTAGTTATTTGATACCAAATCGTATATTGTCTTGGCATCTTTCATAATAGTTTCCTTTTGTAATATCCTATTAATGATTCTTGCACATGTTATGCAAGTTGCATGTTTCCAACTTGATCAAAGCTTGTTAGATAATCTCTCACTTTCCTACTAAGTTATACTAGTGTGCATGCTTTGTAAAGCACAACCTCCTATTTTTTTAAGCACTGCATTTTGAACTTGTCTCCCTCTAAGTTTTAATACATTTGATTTGATTATTGTATGCTTAAAATTAGAAATCATATCTACTCCTCTATACTTAAAGAAGGATCCAAGTTTTAATATACTTGATTTAGAAATCATATCTACTCCTCTATACTTAAAAGAATGATCCAAGTTGATACAGTAATACTATAACATGAATAGTAACCTCAAGTATGGAGAAGCAGATTTGATTCAGTTTATGCTACAGTGTTTACTGTAGTAAGAATGGTAACTATGAGTTCAGAGGATCAGATTTGATCTACTGTGTTTTTTGTAGCATTACTGTAGTTGAACAGTATCTTTAGGTTCTCCTTTGAGTATAGAGGAGTAGATAACCTTCCATATTCTTGCCTATGCAGCATGTAGTTTTTTACAAGTAAAAGATGCTTGACCCGGTTCTATGATGCCTGTGGTTATAGAACAGTAGAAATCAATATAGAGATGCAAAACCTCTTGCTCTTCCATATTCGTAATTGAGAACAATTATCAAACAAGTGGCGCTTTGTACTTCTCGTAAGATATTTCTTGCATGTTATTTGTATTCTCTTTATCTGTTCAGTAGCTGGTTAACCTTGTTTTAATCTGTCCAGTACTCCTTGCTAAAATTTGTCTATGTTCTCATTGCAAGTTTTTGTTTTTTTTGGGTCCTATCAGGTTTTCTTGGGTTTGCGTTCACGTGTGGGAATGGTGAATTATATTGATGATGGATTCTCATGGACTATTCTAAGATGCAGTCACGAAAGTAAAAAAATTCACTCTGTGCAAAAAATTGCACTCATGGCTGAGTGCAACATAAAGCTAGCAATTGCTCTGAATCTTATGGAAGAGTGCTTTCTGCCAATGGTGGACCCAAGAACTGGCATAGACATGATACCACATGTCCTATACAATCTGGGGTCAGTTTGTCCATATTGGTTGTTGGTTTTGATTATAAGTTTTTTGGGAATACTATCGAGCTCTTTTGTGCGGAGTAATGTACCCATAGGTATTGAACTATAGGAGTAAATTGACAGTTAATAACTTTGTACTCCATGATTCTGATGTGACCTCAGTGATCTTTTCTTACTTTACGTATTCTGTTTACTTTGTATTTCCCCACCAGTTATAATGATTGTTTCTAGGTCATATTTGTTAAGCTATTAAGTTTTAGAATAAGATAGCAAAGATTTTATTCTTTAATAAAAATAATATTATGGTTTCAATAAGGGGTCTTGCAATTAGATAATTAATTATCCAGGTTAAAGCTATAGTGCTTAAAAACAGAAGATAATTGAAAACCACTAACAAAAGGGGTAATCATATTATTGGTTACATTACTTGTTCTAGTTTTTGCTTTGTTTATTTCTTTTAGTTGGTGTGCGCTGTGCACTGAAGGGAGTGTCATTAATGCAGCACAAATTAGCTTATCATGTTTCTTATTTCATATGTATAAGCCCTTCACTGTATGCACATTCTAACTTCTGCCCCCGCATCTCTCAGGACTGTGGTCAACATATGTTGGAAGTTTCATGTTATAGATGAACGTTGGTTGCCCTTATTGATGATCTGTATCATTCATACTTTTGATTAGACATACCTATGTATGCAGTCAAAGGAGGAGCACCTTGCGCATGGAGACGGGGTTTGAGTCATGACCTGTGGTCAAATATCTTGAATGAACTCTTGATTTGTGCACAATGTAACACAAATATGTAGGTACAAGTCATAGGCTATGGTTGGCTTGACTTGAGGCTATCTTTCAGTTAACTGTCACTTAACACTGAAATTCTGGGATGTATTACTTAATTAGAGCATTTATTTACTGCATGCCAAAAGCTATTTTTTATTGTAGGTCATATAACTAGTTTTGAACATGCCATGAAAGAGAACTTATTGGATTTTTGTAAACATTAACTCTTCACATTATAAGATATCCTATATCTGTTCCTTGTTCTCTTTTATGTAGTTAGTAATGCCTAAGTTGGTAGCGGAATTGGTCATTGCTGTAGGACATTTCAATAACTTTGAAGGTTTGAAATTGAGTTTCCGTAGGATTCGGATCTGATTGAAAGTTTCCATATGATTTGTTGAAGGGAGTGCTTGAAGACTAGTTTAGTTGTAGAAGGAATGTATAACTATTGAAAAGAGTTATCTGGAGAAATTGGTAGGATTGTTAGCATTTCTCTTCTTTTCTTTCGAAAATACTTGAACACTATGCAAACTAGTAACGATTCACTGGTTCAGATCCCCTTGTATAACAAGAGAGACAAACTCCTTACCTTCAGCATATAGTGTCCCCTTTTGCATTTCTCATTCGCTTCGTGAAGTGTCTCTAGTTAAATAGTAATGGGGTAATTTAAATTTCAAGCTCAGTTGTATTAAAGGAGGAGAGTCAAAAAGTTTAGATACTGGATTTGTTATAGAGTCAATTCTTAGCAGGTCAGTGTCTACTGCAAATATGGTAAAGGAAAAGGAAATATTTCTTCTTTAGGATAGGAAAGTTTTCCACAATCCCTTTTCCCTCTTTATCATTCACTGTACAGGGGAAAAAAAGCAAGATTCAAGCAAGTGTTTCGACTATTACTTTCATGGAAATATTTTCTTTTCTAATTGATGTGGGACTGGTAGAAAACCTTCCAAAGGTGTTCTATGGTCTTGGGAAACTATTTAACAATTACTACTTTCAAGAGAACCCAAATGTGAGACATCAACTTTGTGAACTGTAATATCTAAACTTTATGCATGCAAGGAAGGTCACCATTAGTTGCAATATTTAATCTTCTGATTAGTAAAAGACTAAAAGTTTATACTAAAAGGAGACTCTGAATGCATTAAAGCTTATAATAGTATCAAGATTTAGCAGGAACTATATGAATCAAGAGCTGTTGGCGTAAAGTCCGAAAGTGTATATGTTGATTGTTAATAAGTGTAGGTTAAGGTTATTTGTTGATTTTGTCTTGCTGCATAATGAATGGAATGATGACTTGATTATAAACATCTGCATCATGCGTTTAAGGTACATGATTACGCCTTAGAAGTATACGCATGAAATTTGTTCAGATCACTGTGTATTTATGTGGACACATAGCGAAAATTGATGTCTGTCAGAGGGTATGTGTCAAATTAGGTTTTCGAATTATCCATGCGATTATATTAGGCAAAAATTTTATCTAGAAGGCTATGTGTCCCAAATTAACTACTCATGCAGCTTCGTTATAGATACCAGTAGAGTTCAGTTTCGTGTGATTTTGTTTCTTTTGTAAAATGGTGCATTACCAGTGTTTGTGCTGCAAAAGTACTTTTGCCCTCCCCAAGTGCAAGTGTTTGTGCTGCAAATGCCCCCTTTGGGCAACTTTTGTCACACTTCTCTTAAGGTGTAAAAAAATGAAAAATAAAAATTGACTCAAACAGCTGCAAAACTATCTACTTTCAAATGGGCTTGCAGATCTGTCCACTTACTGCAAATCCGACATGCTCCATTAGGAGTGTTCATGTAAAGAAGAACTAGGAGTTTGTGTGCAAAGTGGAAACTTTCAAACTATAGAAGGATGTTTATACATAATATAGTATTTTAAAGGGTATACATTCATAAAATCAGAATGTTGATGGCACATAGTAATATTTAAGACGCTCGCTACTTCTTTTAAGTGGTAACTGTTGCACTGGACAGTAATCCAACCCCCAATTTGCCTATTTCTAGGAGTTAATATTCTAAATAGATTACATGTTTGGTCAAGTTATCGTGCCACTTGAGTATGAATTAAACTGTGAACTTCCTAATTTTGTCTCTCTTCATCTTTTGCTTCTGTTGATTGGGTCATTAGATTGTTTTTCAGATTTGCACAAGCATGTTGTTAATAGTCTGTGTGATTTTATACATGCATTTATTTCATTATAAGGAGAGCGCACATGTGCAAATCTGACTTCAATAGCTAGAAACTGCTTCCCTTTGAGTGTATATGTATGCATGCGTGCGTGCATGCGTGTATATATATTGCTATATTGTATGTATGTATGTATATGTATGTATGTATACTGTATACATGTGTATACAAGGTAATGGAGATGTGTTCCCTATATGCGTGTGTTTGCGAGGGCAGGTACATTTGTGTGTGTGTGCTTTTTGTTTGTCAAGTATGTGCATAGGGTGTGGTTCCACGTGTGTTATTATGTGTACATTTGTGTGTGTGTGTGTGTGTGTGTTTGAGGATGTATGTGTATGTACATGGCTGAATTTGTTCTGTAACCTTATTCTGACTTGGATTTACCACAGCTACTCCCTAAATTTTCATTTGTCTTCACCCCTGCAATATAACTAGGGTGTATACAAAAAGTCATATTATAGAATTCTTCCTAAATCCGTTGTAAAAAGATTTACACGAAAAAATGTATTTGGTTAATGTTTCCCGATAATCAATGGCGC